AAAGACTTATCAAATCTTAGAAGAAGAAATTCCAAAAGAGTTAATGACAAACTTTTGTGAAAATCTTGAAAAATATGTATTTACTTTACAATAATGGATGATTAATATCAGAAGAAAATAATTATAAAGCATATCACAACAAGTACAGTATGTGATATTAGATAGATGTGTAATATCTATAAGAGTATTTGCAAAATATTTACAAAATGAAGGATATATTACAAAGCAACAGAAAAGAGAGTTACATGAAGAAACACAAGAATATCTTAATATTCTTAAAAATAGAATAGTAATATATTTAGATATAAGTATTGAAGAAGAAATACAGAGAATTATCAAAAGAATTAAACAAGATAATGAAAGAGAATTTGAAGGAACTTTGGATACAGGATATTATGAAAAATTAACAAAGATATATGAAAATGAAGTAAAGAAAAGTTATAAATAATATCATAAATTGATATTACCAAGACTAGAAGATAATAATAAAGGTAATTTAATAATAACACAAGAATATAAAAATGAAATAGAAAGAGTTTACCAAAGAATGAAAAAATTATCAGAACATATTAGGAAAAGGTATGTAATAATATTATTATACAAAAAGGATATCATATACTTATCACAAAGGACAAATGAGTATAAAGATTATTTCTTATATTACCAAGTCCTGGAGGAAAAATAGAAATAGGTGAAACACCAGAAGAAGCAAGCAAAAGAGAAATACTTGAAGAAACAGGAATTGAAATTGATGAAGGAAAATTAGTATATCTTACAATGCATAGAAATATTGAAGGAAGAAAAATAAAATGTAAGATGTATGCATTAGAATTAGAAGAACATCAAATACCTAAAAGAATGGAAAAGGAAAATAATTCTGAATGGAAGCCATATAGGTTAAGAGAAATATTTGATTTAAAGTTAACACCTACACTTATAAAATACCAGAATTTGATATTACAAGTAGTGGATAAAGAATATAAATAAATGGTAGATACACATGATAAAAATCAAAAAATTAAAAGAAAATTGAAATCATTAACTAAAAATGTCAGCCTCAGGAACAGGAAAAAATAATAACAAGAATAATAAAATTGAATCAACAGCAATAAATGTGAAAGGAATCTTTAAAAAAGAAGAATTCTTAAAATTAGATAATAAATAAAAAATAAATGAATTGATAAAGGCAGTGAATATATTTAAACAAAGAATAACAGAATTAGAACAACATGTTAAAGAAGAAAAAGATAAAAGACTTACAAGTGAAACTATGGAAAAACAGTTTGCAACAATAATTACAAATAATTATAAAAGGATTAAGAATTTCTTTAGAGAGCCAATTAAAGAAAATACAAAAATAGGTGATGAATTACCAAAAGAAATAGAAAAATTAATTATCACAATAGGAAAAATAGAAAAAAGATAAAATAACAACAAAAAATTTATACCATAAACAAAGGACTTTATACAACGACTCAGAAAAAAAGATTGAAAAATTAGAAGAACAAATAGAGAAAATTGAAAAGAAGCATAATGGAGCTAAGGAGTACATACAAGAGCAAAGAAAAAAATTACAAGAACTATATGAAGAAAACAAAGAATTAATAAAAAAGGTAGAAGAATTATTAGAATTCAAAAAAGGAATTGATAAAATAATACTTGACTTAGAAATTGACAAACAAATGGATAAAATTTGGAGAGATAGATTTGAAGAACATCAAAAATTAGTACAAACTGAAGAACAACTTGAGGAAGAAATTAATAGGGAAGAACAGGTACAAGAAGACTAAAACAGAAATAGAAATACAATTAGGAAAACAATATAGATTAGGACAAGATCTTAAAGAATTGATAGAATCTTTAAAATATTGGGAAAGTAAAGCTAGAAAAATTGGTTTAATAACACCAAAATTATTAGATAATGAAGAAGAATTACCATTGGAAGAACGAATTCATAAAACAAAAAGAATAAGAGATAATATAAGACAATCGGTATATCAAAGACATAATATTAAAGAAATAACAAAAGAAGAAGAACAACAAATACAAGTAATAATAGAAAATTAATATCAAACAACAGAATCAGAAATGGAATATGGAAAGGATGAACAAATGGTAATCCAAGAATCAGATAATGAAGAAGAATTACTTTTTTATATAGAACAAGGAAGTTTAAGTAAACCATTTAAAATATTCAATATAGGAACAATAAGTTTTGGAAAACCATTTAGTTTAATACCTGATAAATTTAATATAAATATACCTCCATTTGGACAATCAAAACCATTGACAGGATTTGAAGAAACAGGATTTGAAGAATCTGAAATATTTGAAGAACCTTGGATAAATAAACCTTTAGAAATAAAGTTACTATCAATAAAATCAAAAGAAAAAACCCCAGTAAAAGACATCAATACAAAAAAGAAAAAGAAAAAGACTGACATTGCAGAAGCAGCAAGATTAAATAAAGATGCACAAGATGATGTAGATAAATGGAATAATCAACCATTTGAATTAATAAGAGCAAGTATTGGAACAATACCAATATTTGATGGAAGTAATGTAGATTCATATATAGCAGCATTAAAAAGAATGGTAGTAGGATTAGGATTGCCTATAGGAAAGAAACCTAATGATAAATATTTACCTAATCCAACAGGACATAAAGACTTACCAGCTTATGACTATTGGAGAAATGATGTATCATATGGAGGAGGACCATATAGAAATAGACATAGGGATGGATTAGAATTAGTAAAAGTATTACTTTCAGGCTTAGGAGCCATTGAGCATATAGCAGAAGTACAATCAAAAAAACCAGTAGGGTTATGTAAAAGATCTAAAAAAATGATAGATTACATTGCATCATTATGGATAGGAACAGCAGCTACAATATGGAAAAATACACCTCAACACTTAAAACCCAGAACACTAGAAGATTATAGACATAGATATAAACAACTAGATAGAACAATAGCAATGATACCTACTGTAACAGGATTATACTTATTTATTAGAAAACATTGGAAAATAATATCTGAAAATAAGACAGCATTTAAAAAATTATATGAGATAATATTTAGTTATGCAAGGTATAGATCAATTACTGAATTTAATTCTGATTTTACAGATAAACTTTTAAGAACAGGAATAGAATATACTGGAAATAATGGAGCAT